AATATTTTCCTAGATCAGTAGAGAAAGGAACAACCGCTAATTTCCACTAATTGGGGGAAAGCATGATAGCCGTCCCTACTGTGGTCAGACAAGTGACCATTACTCTCTCTAGACACTGTCTGACCAATGACAGTCCATGACCAAAGGACATGGTAATTAATGACTGTGTATGGCCATTCTATGGCAGATAGGTGTAAAGTCAAGGGCTAGGAAGTCCTGATGTTACATGGGAAAACCTAAATGTCTTTACAAAGGTCACTTGGGGCATGGGTCATATACATCATGTTAATTGCAATCAAGGTTTCCTTTACACAAGCATATCATTAGAATAAAATTTGAATTTGATATTTGTAGTAATGTGGTTAGATATTAAGGCAAAAACTCATTATTATTTTATTTATGTGGGTGAAAGAACAAAAATATCTTTCCCAATCCATATCAAGATGAAAATTCATATTTTCATAATGATATTCCACCCAAAATATTCCAGGAAACATAATAACATGTTGTCACAACACAAGTCCACCTTTCCTTAAAGTGCTCATCTTAACAACCATATATTATATAGATTTCCGTATCTAAGACAGCCCTAATGCTAATTAGTTCTCTCCTATTAGTAAGACGTTAGGTTGCTATCTGATCGTCTCCTACATACTATGTATCCCCTCTCTGATAAACTGTGATCATCCTGTGGATATATTTGTCTCTTAAGCAGGATGCACCAAGTAGCCTGCTGTATATTTACATTCTTATATCTATTGTTGGGAGATAACCGAGGAAAAGATGTCTATATAAAGTAGAGGAAGAGTTACCCACCCAAGATAGAGTTAGATAGGAATAGATAGACAAAGATAGAGGTGTATGGGATTATATAGTAAATCTTCACCATGTACCTAACAAAGATAGAGGTGTATAGGATTATATAGTACGTCTTAAACGTGTACCTAACAGGCCCATCATAGGCCTATGTGATACTATACAAAAAATAGCACCTGAGGGATTATATCTAAATCCTGAGGATTAGGAAAGGCTGGAGGGAACACTAACCATATGGCACCCAGGTAAGATATCCCCTGTAATCGGCAGATGATTGAAAGGCATGGTCAGTGACTGTGCAAGTTCTTAATGGTAGAACGTTTGTGGGCCAGAAGATGAGGTTATGACCGATTGGATACGTTTAGATTATCATCATTACCTGACATGGGTACCACAATTCAGGTATTGTTATACCTGTTAAAAATATCATTCTCTAGGATTGGGCAAAAAACATTCAAGTAACAAGAAAATAATTAACCCTGTTCTATGATGAAAGCCAGCTATTGTTTCCGCCATTTTATTGATTATGTGCACTTGTGTAGTAAATAGCAAGCTTAAATATCCAATATGATCTGTGCTGTCCGAAGGGCAGGGCTTAGTTAGGAACTAAAAGGTATCTCTTCTCTCATGGCTATGGATTACACTGTCGCCTGTCTATCGATGTTATACTCCTAATGAAGTATCTATAAGCCTTGTATTCAAATCCTACATGGGCTAGTTTGGTACACATGGATAGCAAGCAGAGCCCTATTCAGCATGTTCTCTATCCCATATGTAGCTGACCAATCACTGACTAATTGTTTTAAGATACAGGGGACTATCAGAACTTCTACTGTCCTATTTCTGGATCATTTTAATTGCTATATCATACCTAGTCTGACCGCCCATGGGTGGGCCTGCTTTCTGTTTTGTGTCTGCCAGGACAACTGATAGTTAAATACCTATATAACAGATATATAATTGGCTGTTTAATATGCGGAGTACAACATTGGTGGCTGTTCGTATTTATAGAACACCCGACCACAATTATGTGGAGTATTTATATACACGGGCCTGTTTTTGTTTTGTAAGTGGGACAACCTCCCTGTAACCCATCCCTGCCCTGGATCTCCGCAGTCACAGGTATCATTAATACCTGTATATCTACCTGTAGCGTGACTTGAAGTAGTAGTAAAGTACACAGGTGATACACAAGGTCATACCTGACCAGACAGGTCTGATAGAGGCTGGTCAGGTACATTCCTCATAGTCATACTAAGTTCGTAACTATTCAGTTTACAACCTGTCTATAAAGGTCGATTAAATACAGGGGGTCTTTATGTTCATGATATAAAGGTAAATGTTATATAAAGAAAACTGTTCCTGGTGTTCATCGTTACTAACGAGTGATCTTTATATGGAGGGGGCATTATTGAAGTGCTTTTTGACAGTATATTTGTACGTTTTAATTGTGTTAGTTACCTGTTAGTTGTAGACAGGTAGATTGCACAGGTACATAATTAATATAAGATGTAGGTGATTTACATAATTATTGATGGTTGAGTTTGAGCAATGGGCAAAGTTTGGAGCTTTGAAATAATTTAGACTATAAACATTAGATATTGCAATATATTTGTATTACCCTCCAAACAAATAAAGCCACGTACACGTCTGTGGTCTAAATTATTCTGTTTCTAGTGCTACCTTCTGTTATGACAACTATTGGTGTGTAATATTTATTGATTTTATCTATTTCAATTTCATGGCTGAATTATTAGGATGACATTACGATCAATGTTACCTCATTTAACTACCAACCAATTCTATTGCAAGCACTGATGACAATATTGAGTATTGGTATGTTTGAATGCGCTAAGAATGTGCAAGCGCCCCATTAAGGCAAGATCATGTTGACCGATTGACCTCCCAACTAGGACGGGGTAATAAATATGCTGAACAATATCAATATCATCAGGAAACATTATAATCAAAATATATACAGGTTGAAATTTATATCGGGAGTATTCTGTCCTGCTCCAGTAAGCATGTAACAGTAATTGCATAAGTTGAATAGCTTTGATGATATGGACCAGATTTTATGTTATAAGGCATTAACGCAGACTTGAACCTATATGTAGAATATCCATAACGATTCTGTAAATTCCTTCGGTAGATGAAATAAAAAAATATCATAATGGCTTTCTGTGATCAAGTCATGTTGTCAGTGAGAGTTTTTAATGTGTCATGTGTGAATATCTAATTTGCCCTCCCCACCTACAGAGAATAAATTTGTTTCGCTATCTGTAGAGGAGTAATGTGTGATGGTGGCTCGGTGGTGTCATTTCGCCTGGCCCCAGCTCCGTGAACCACCATTTCGCCTGGCCCCTCCGTGACTCGCCATGCTATCTGGTGACATCTGAGGAGGGATTACCTCTGTCAACACGTTCCCTCCACACTGCCCTTGTCTCAGCCCTTACAGTACATGGTACTCGCAAGCGGATTTACTAATCATCCAATGTCTTAGCCTACACTTATCACCAACATGTGCTGTCTGTATTATAGACCTGCTTGTATTTGCAGCAGTGTATCATTTGGGAGTTAATCATTCAGCAAAGTGCTTCAGGATTTCTGATTCTGAATTCATCGGAGTTGTATGTAATCAGAGTTGTATGTAATTGTTGTACATATCAACTTATGATGAACGACCGGAGATGAGACTGCAGGTAACATTTCATGCATACCTGTATTGTATCGGTGGTGGATTAAGTATTGGGGGGAGAGTGTTTGAGGATAACTTACCTCGGGATACAAGATCTTACCTCGGGATACAGGATCTAACGTAAAGTAAGCAGTGTATTACTATGTCAACTGTGTCGGGATTAGGGAAGGGTGTAACTGTTCTGTGATATGGATGCTCAGGCGAGGAGGGGATGGTTTGCCGTTAAAAAATGGGTGAGTGAAGAATTAATCAGCACTGTTTAATTAATCTGCTTCAGTGCCTCATAAATATTCTTTCTAAGACATGAAGGTACATGTATATTCAATTATTGAGTCTGTGGTTAGGTTCAGGCAGACATGAGAAACAAATGATTTGAATTCCTGGCTTGGTTTATTTTACCATTGCCTGTGTGTCTTCTACATTTCTTGAAAAATAAAAATGAAATCTTGATATTGAGGGTACAGTTGATTTGATGCAATTAATTAAGCTATGTGGAGATGTGTCAGCTGCTTTGTATTAATATTGACATCTTAGTGATGGGTTCCACCGTGTTAATGCTGTATTAAGATTGAGAGCTTTAGTGATGGGTTGTTCCACCGTGTTAATGCTGTATTACGATTGACATCTTAGTGATGGGTTCCAACGTGTTAATGCTGTATTAAGATTGACATCTTAGTGATGGGTTCCACTGTGTTAATACTACATTCAGCAAAGTCCATTTTCTGGAATGTTGGATTGGCAAATAATAGTACATGTATCCTGTTTATGAAGATGCTAAAACATTTCACAATTGACTCTAAGAGATATATATCTAAAAACACCTGATGACATTTGTACACCTGTTGTCATCAATTTGTATAGAATTTGTGTGATACAGATTTCAGAATGAGTTTGATCAGTCATCTTGTTTGTGACTTTTCCGGCCAGGTGTTGTAACACTGTACTTTTACAACTCTGCAGTGTGTGAACTTTTACAAATATAGGTTAAATTCCCAATAAACCACAAACTATTTCGTTAAATCACAATGAATAATTAGCAATTGAGTAACTGCCAATATACTGAACATTTTATATTGTATTAAGAAAATGATTTACAAAAAAAAGATTTTTTTATTATTTTCTCCTTCATCTCTCACTTTAAAGTAATATTTACAATTAAGAAATTCATCACATAAGAAGACATGGAAAGTATTCTTTCAAAAATTATATATATTTTGAAGGGTGTATATCTAATGAAACATCGAGTTGTGTAATGTTTTAGTGGTTTTACCTCAAGTTACTCGTCTTTATTCATCCTTGTGGACAAATTTCTGTCTCCGGACCTAAAGGTGGATCTTATTAAATAAACTACAAATAGGTAGTGTCCTAAGGGAGTGACCTTATCCAGGTGTCCACTTATAAGGATAGGGTCATTTACCTGAGTAATATCATCCCTTCACACCTGACAGGTAACAACTCATCATCCCTTTGTTTCTCATTGTTACAGGTACAAAGAATACCGGAATATGATAAATACCTGAGTGACCTTTTGGATGAAACTGACCATGGTCATCCTGACTATGATGACCTCCACAGGGCACATGCAAGGGTCAAGAAAGTAAGTATTACCTACTAATTAGGTGAACATCAAGAAAGTTCATGTTACAGTAGTCAATTTACTTCTCTTACAGCAAAATAATCAGCCATTTGGTAGTCGAGTGAAACGTTAAACTGACTCTTACAGCAAAATAATCAGCCATTTTGTAGTCAAGTGAAACGTTAAACTGACTCTTACAGCAAAATAATCAGCCATTTGGTAGTCAAGTGAAACGTTAAACCGTAAGTTGCGGGAATATCAAAAAAAAAAAATTCAATAAGTTCTTTGAATTTTTGAAAAAGAAATTACGGTTATTTGTATAAAAGGTTTAAAGAAACATTACTAATGTTTATGGAGGTGTACATTGAGATTTACGACCCTCATTACTAATAGGTTAATGACAGACCATATACAACTATTACAGTTTAATGAGCCCTACAGCAATTATAAGATGGTGTTATTGTTTTACATTAGAAGTAAAACCTGATTTACATGCTATGTGGAACTTGAGAAATGTATAAGATATGGTGATTTGGAGGCTACATGACACACACTGTCAAGATAAGGTCACTAAAATACATATAAGTTTATAGGTCAGATCGTCCCTGAGAATAATATTCTCCTTATTAGGACCGACAGAATCCTTCAGATGTTGTGTTTGATGTCTGTCTAATAGGATGGAGATAGCTGTCAGGGACGTAAAAGCTCACATATATCAAGTACAACTAAGGCATCAGGAACTATATATTGTATCGTTGTATTCCTGAACACATTTTCTTTCATTTATTAAAGCATATTATGCTTCCATCTTAAATAAATCAATTCTTTTCAAAAAATATTAAAGAAAATATTATCATGAATATTGGATTTTTCCAAATCTATATTACCATGCATTTATTGGAATTCTATTTTACATTGAGTTTGTCTGCAGTTAATTCTACATTGAGAGGGTCCAAGATCTATTTTACATTGAGAGGGTCCAAGATCTATTTTACATTGAGAGTGTCCAAGTTCTATTTTACATTGAGTGTGTCCAAGTTCTATTTTGCATTGAATGTGTCCAATTTCTATTTTACATTGAGAGTGTCCAAGTTCTATTTTACATTGAGAGTGTCCAAGTTCTATTTTACATTGAGTGTGTCAAAATTCTATTTCACTTTCAGTGTGTCAAAATTCTATTCTATGCTTTGTCAGAAGTATATTTTACATGTGAATAAGGATATGTCATAAAACTTGTCAAGATAATGGTCTAGTATCACCTTGTGTGAATTTTTATGTGATCTAAAAACTTGTCCTCTGAATAAGGATATGGTATAAAACTTTGAGGATCAATACTTGAAGATACAATGCACTAAAAACAAGCCAATTACTGGTGAAGTTGTTTCTGAATAATAAATAGGGGAATGACCCAGGATGAGGTGACTGTGACTCAACATGAAACAGACTATTTTCAATGAAACTTCTGCATGAATTGTCAGTTCTAAAGTGTATTGTCCGAGTAAAAAGGACTTTGTGTGCCTATGTTTTATTGGTCAGAGATCCTAGATCTTATTTAACAAAGGTTGTGGGTCAAACTTGTTTTGGTCAACACGACTTTGTCAAATCACTGTTTGAATTAATTGTGACATTTAAGTTTTATTTGAGATGCAGATCATGTAGAACTTCACAGGTATCGGTGACAGTTAATTACAGGCAACAGACATCAGCCACAAGGGGGCGACACAAGACAACTCCCAATCATTTCTACCATGTGACTCTTTATTAAGGACCAGAGCTGGGAGCATCAGATTGGATTTCTTGTGTTGGGATAAAGTCCGGTATAATTTCTACAGTATAGTGGGTCAGTGTTATTAGAGATAGACTGTACGGTCCCACAAACCCCCTGTCATAACCTACTACCATAACAATACATCTTATCGTCAAATCTCTATTTTTACCCTTAGAATATTTCATGAAACTACCTGTTATGGTACTTAATAGTCTCTATTATGGGCAGTTAAAGAAGTTATTTAGACGTGAAATTTAAGACCACTCAAAGGGTCCTTCTCAGACAAACCATCTGATATACCAGATTTTATATTGCGTAGGTAAAAGGTTTATATTTCCAATTCAAAAATGTCTTTTTGTGATTGTGTGGCCATATGTCAGATTCACCCAGAGTCTGATGACATTACCCTAGATATGAATGTCATTACCGTAGATACGCATACCTCAATATCCTACATTACCTATGGAACAACTTAGCTCCTTCTCAATCTACAGACAGTCTGGTTCATTGAAGAATTTAGGGTTGAGACGTTTGTATTGTAATGAAGTTTGTAGATTTGTGGAGAAATGAAACACATGTGACAGGTAGTGCAAGAAAAGAATACTTAATTAATTCGTACAATAAAACAGATGTAGAAAGTTAACAACAGTTTAGATAAAATATCCACACAATCAAACTCCAGACAAAAGGTAACAAGTTTAGTGTAACAATGTTCATGGGAGGAAGAGCAAACTGCAGAAGTGTTGAGCATGGCTCATTAAAACTTCACTCAAACTGGAGACAGGAAAAAGTTTAAACTATTCTTGTTGATACATGTCAGTTATTTCTGTATGAACAAGAGACATGTTAATTGATTGTGGAAGGCTATGGGTTATAAAATATGCAGAGAAACTGATTTGGGAACCACATAATCCTGTTAGGTGTAAATTAATGGAGAGTGAAGCTGTTTGTTAGTTGTTCTGCTTGCTTGAATTGATAGTCTGGCATTTATGCTTTATGTTAAATTTAGGTTGATAAAACCACAAAATATTTTATAGTAAAAGTGGAATTTGGCATGGTGACAAAGTTGATATAACCACAAAATATTGTATATTTTATGGTGACATTATTTATAAATTCATGAGAACCTGAAAACAATTTGGCATGAACAGCAATATGATGGGTCAGACAGATTTGTGGGAAGATGAGCTGGAGTAATAAGATATAGGTATTTGAGGGGAGAGAGATCAGAGTTGTATGAAAAGGGAGACAGATTTGTGGGGAGACCGACCTGAGAAATAGTAGGGGAGACAACTGAGTACCATTACAGGCATTTGAGGGGAGACAACTGAGTAATATAATAGAAGCATTTAGGGGTAGACAACTGAGTAATATAATAGAGGCATTTAGGGGAGACAGGCTGGAGTAATAGGATACAGGAATTTGAGCGGAGACAGTTCTGGGTAATACGATACAGGNTATAGAGGCATTTGGAGGTAGACAACTGAGTAATATAATAGAGGCATTTAGAGGTAGACAACTGAGTAATATAATAGAGGCATTTAGAGGTAGACAACTGAGTAATATAATAGAGGCATTTAGGGGTAGACAACTGAGTAATATGATAGAGGAATTAGAGGGGAAGCAGTTCTGTGGGGAGACAGGCTGGAGTAATATGATACAGGAATTTGAGCGGAGACAGTTCTGGGTAATATGATACAGGAATTTGAGCTGAGACAGGTCTGGGTAATACGATACAAATATTTGAATCAGATACCTGTTACCTGAGTAACTCTTTCCTTTTGGAAAGTTTCTATATAGGTTATCAATTTCTTAACTTCATCAAAAGAATTTTTAACATTTTCATTTTCTTTGACAGGAGAACAATGGAATAAAAGTTAAAATTGTCTGGTAGGGTTTTAAATTAAATGAACGTATAAGTTTCCAGTTACTCACAAATACAGATGTGACAGACAAGTACAGATATAAACTATAGCAATAAACATGAAAATGAAATTCCAAAGATAATTTCAGTCCTAATTAAATGTGATACCTGTCAGACGGATTTCACTTTCAGTTGTCAAGTGTTCTAATGAATCGTGTGTTCAGTGTCAACTAGACCATCTTCTCTAGTGCAAAACCTTAACAGCAGACAACATTATGACGCAGAGAAAAAAAGCTGAAATGTTAAAATCTTGCTCCTGTCAACAAGCAATGTTATGAAATGATGTTTCTAGTTAGGTGTTATGTAGTTGACATTTGTTTGAGTGTCAAATTACGATAAAACTAAAGGTGAGGCGAAGTAATAGCTTCATTGTGGTACAATTTAACTTAATGTGAAGTTCAGATTTCATGTTACAAATCATTAAATCAATGTTTTTTTCTACACGCTGTTGAGTTGTGTTAATGGAACGCTAGTCTACTGACAATAACAGCACTATAGCGATGTTTACTTATGGGTTTTCCCTGGAACTAATGACAAGAAAAACATTTATGAATGATGTGTTGCTGTGTTATAAAGCTTTAAAATAGAGTTTAAATTGGTCATTACAAAAAGATTAAGAGACACAGGGAAATAAAAACAATATCACGTCCTTGTACATACACAGAACTCATAATTACTTCCTCATCATCACATTTTGTTGCATTGTTTACTTCTGTAACTTTCGGTAAATAACAGCACAAATTTAGCCTGTAAGAGTATGGACAGATTGGTTGTTTAATTATGTATACCTGGTATTACAAAGTTCATGACTCATGTTAAAATTCACTTGGTGCATTCTTCAGTACATAGATGTACTCTACAATACAGATGACAGGTAGGTGTACATAGATGTACTCTACAATACAGATGACAGGAAGGTGTACAGACTACTAAAATATCATTATCTATAAATGTACTGGTGTAGAAATGTGCACGTGTACTGTGAGGCTATCTGGGTACAGCATCACCATTCCTTGTGTACGCGTAGTGGGTTCTCTGCCACACAGGTATTCCACAGGTACGCTATAGGTATGTCATACCTGTGTTACCTGTTAATCCCTTAAACCTAATTTGGCAAGAACACAGACAACTGTAGGTTTTAGGTGCAATATCTGTGTGCATATACCTACTTAGCCCTTAGAACAGGTTTGTTTCTGACCACTCGTGCACCTGATCCCTGTAATGAATTAGAGACTTTGTACACAGGATTGTGGTAGACATATTGTAAACACAGCAAAGCAGTGCGGGGGATCCTTGTGTATATCCCAGCTTTGAGTGCTTAGCAAACAAGCGCATGGCTAAATATTGCATTGTGACGCAAGTTTGTCATAACTCCGATCACATGCTGATACGTCTATGTGTATTCACAGACCAGTATGATATTTCAGGTACATGTGGCAGGTCACAATATCTTTACAAATAGTCAACAATAACTTCCTGTAAAATCCAATACACCTTAATTTAAAGATTATTGAACATTTCATATGTCTTTTTGACTGCTGGTCAGTTTCGGTACAATCCTGTTTATAAACCTCCTCTTGTTGCCCTCTCACAATTTACTAATGAGTTGGAAATTCAGAGAAAATCATTTAGCTCAATCTAATTTATAAAATTTGATGGGTAGGTGAGGAATGGAGATTGTTGGCTGTACTATTTTATACAAAAGAACCTTATCTTAATCAGACCACAAGTACTTGTAAAATTCAATATTGTAGATTGAGCAAAATGTGACCCCTCGGTTAAATTTGACCTTCATGGTGTTCAAATGTCAAATGAGCAAGAGAGCAGTGTGGTAGATGCCATTTTGTACCCTGGAATGACAGGTTTGTGACCTATAGTGACCTTAATACTAGAAATGATATACATCACAATGGGGTTATAAACAGATAGAATTGATACATCACAGTGCGGATATACACAGATAGAAAAGTGTGATACATCACAGTGCGGGTATACACAGATAGACAAGTGTGATACATCACAGTGCGGGTATACACAGATAGAAAAGTGTGCTACATCACAGTGCGGGTATACACAGATAGAAAAGTGTGAGACATCACAGAGTGGGTATACACAGATAGAAAAGTGTGATACATCACAGTGGTAGTATACACAGATAGAAGTGATACATCACAGTGGGAGTATACACAGATAGAAAAGTGTGATACATCACAGTGCGGATATACACAGATAGAAAAGTGTGATACATCACGGTGGGGGTATACACAGATAGAAGTGATACATCACAGAGCGGGGATACACAGATAGAAAAGTGTGATACATCACAGTGGTAGTATACACAGATAGAAGTGATACATCACAGTGCGGGGATACACAGATAGAAAAGTGTGATACATCACAGTGGTAGTATACACAGATAGAAGTGATACATCACAGTGGGGGTATACACAGATAGAAGTGATACATCACAGTGCGGGGATACACAGATAGAAAAGTGTGATACATCACAGTGGTAGTATACACAGATAGAAGTGATACATCACAGTGGGGGTATACACAGATAGAAAAGTGTGCTACATCACAGTGCGGGTATACACAGATAGAAAAGTGTGCTACATCACAGTGCGGGTATACACAGATAGAAAAGTGTGCTACATCACAGTGCGGGTATACACAGATAGAAAAGTGTGATACATCACGGTGGGGGTATACACAGATAGAAAAGTGTGAAGTTACATCAATGGTTCTTTTCCCCACAGATGGTGAGGGAACACGAGGATGAGTTTGGAACAAGCCCAGAAAACCTCAGAATGGACAGCATTCAAAAACGATTCCCTAACGATGACCTTCAGCTACGCGAATCTTCATCTTCAGCAGCACAGGTAAGTTGTAACACCTGTTGCCTAGATTCTCTACATCACAAACTTGATTAATTAAATATCGACCCTAATAGCTTTTGTATTATTTATTTCATTAAATTGAAAAATATTAAAATGGAAATTAGCATGTTTAGTATATGATTATATATCTCTTATTTGATCTTTGATTGATTAATATTAATTTGATGGATACTGTATATCTTGATAAAAGAAACAATAGAATAGATGACGATTAATTACAATTAATTACTAAAAGGTAGGTAACAAGCAAGTCATTGATGTAGAAATGCTGTTACATCATGTTGCCTCTCATTGTCATTCAGGATGTCTTTGGACCCAACCACTTAAACCCATATATCATATCCACCTCTTAATCACCATATAATTAGGTTAATAAACGTCCTTGGGATTTTAAAAAAAATCACAATCATGTTGGATTGATGTTATATTACTGAAAATTGAATGAAAAGTCTTTTATCAATTTGATTTATAAAAGTCCCCTCATTAATTTTGTATAGATAGACGCCAGTTTTGGGGGTAGTGTTTTTGAACAGCTGATTTTCTGTTTGATAAGATCTCATTAATAATCTAATTATGTAATTTTTCAAAAGGTTGAAATATCAGTCGAGATCAAATTGTAATTTTAATGATTATTTTCAGATCATTAAAGAGCATTTTTCAATAGTGTTAATATATATTACATGTATTGATTTATTTATTGTTGACAAATCTAGATTATCGTGTATATTACCAAGCCCCTAAACGTAGGCCCCAATATAGTTCTTATACAAATTATGTGCTAGATTTATTTCATGCAATAGATTTCTAAATGAACTCTGATTTAAATAGAAGCAGGGACTCTACAGTTTGTTATGATAACACAGAGACAAAACCATCTGTCAGTGCCGTAGTTGTGTCGTTTGTTGGTTCCACGGAGATAATTGATGGTGATCTGTGGACTCTATACAGGTGTGTGGTGTTCTAACACACAACGAGAATTGATTAGCTACGAAAACCTTGATGTTTTTTTCTGCAGAATAAAAAGCCTATCTCCTGTGTGATTCACTTTAGTCTGTGCTTGTATTGAGAGCTTTTGGACTCTGGCTAAGCTTGACAAAGTTTGACAGCTTGCTTTAGACAGCTTTTTCTGTTGGAACTCCCCAGACAAAGATGATTATGGTCCCAGGTTGAACCTGTGCCAGACATCAGAAATCCGTACCAGTGAGGGAAGGGTGTTCATGGTCGATTTCTAACCATGTAATACTACACTGTAATTGTAGTGATGGACCTCGCTCTAACCTCCACTTGGTTCTGGGGATCAACATTTGAACTCAGTGATTATATATCCTAATTGAGAACAGTTAAACAGCAGTCGTTTACTTCAGACTGACAGGAAACTAATGCAATTGGTAAAAAATAACCTCGGACAAAACTCTGTCAGCATATGACATGTCTGTGAGATGGTATCTGGCATCGGCCATTGTGTGCTACCTGTGATTCTGGACGAAATGTCAGAGGAATGATGCAGTATGTTCAGCTGTTACCTGGCTGACCAAAACTTGTTAGGCCAGCTGGTGTGTATATATACCTCAGAGGTGAACAGGTGATAAATGTGTGTTTGTATACTAGATATGTATCACTAGATCTATCAATAGCTTCTGGGATAAACTTAACTCTCACTGACACAAATTCTTGTCAAGTTTTTACGATTCTTTGACACGCAAGGCGGGGAAAGGGCTAGCTGTCAATACATTGATAGTTTTCTGATCAGTTGTGTGTGTATGGAGCTGCGGGGTGATAGGTTGCGTGGTACTTTTCAGGCAGGTCATACATTTTATCCATCAACATTTCACTTGGCAAGAGATGTTTCTGCTTCATACAGCTTTTTTATGGAAGAAGAATAATAACGGACACTTGGAGTTTCAAATGAGCTGTTTGTTTTTCACACATTGGTGAAGGGAATGTGGAATTGTGTCAGTGGGATAGAATTGTACAGGTGTAAATACTCCATTGACTGGACAGGTATAAGTACAGATTACAGGTAGAATGGGCACCCTGGCTCTATAGCCATTCTACCTAAGGAAGGCCATTGATGAAGGACTAATTACAGGTGATAGATACAGGTAAATACATATCTGTGGTACTAAGCAGGATTTTTCTGTCAATGACAAACCTAAGCCGAGTGTCTTTTTGGGGCATTGTTATACGTACCATTACACCTTTTAACAGACATACCCCTACTTGACAACTATGTTGAAAGCCCTTCTATACAAGCTACATACCACATGGAGCCACACTGACTTTCATGAAAAAAAGGAGAACAATTTGCAAGGTATCTTGTAAACACTGGCAAGGTGTGTTTTGAACAGCAGAGGTGTTTGTCTTATTGTCTAATCAGCGATCGTTAATTTCGACAGGTGAAAATGCATACCTTGAGCACTTTGACTGTTCTGAATGTTCCGTTATTGCCTTGGCTGTGTTGTATAATGGCTGAAATGCCAACTTCTTCAAAGTGTTCAATTTTTTATTGACAAAAGACTAACAGAAGGATCTACAGGTAAAAATATCACAAGCTGACTTTTGTGTGAAGTTGACACTCAATTGTATTGGCGCAGAGTAAACAACTGAAAAGCCATTACGGAGTGAAGTACCAATACTGGTCCCAAACAGTTTGTTCTGTAACGTCAACAGCATGTCAGCTGTAGGTCACAGGCATCAAACACAAGTCTCGACTGCAGTGACTCTATCGAGTGACGGGACCATGGATAGCTCTATCAAACACATATCTGTGTCAATAAGCTTTGGTTTGATGTAACATGTAATATCGGAAAAGTTGATCAGGTAAGAATTCCTAATGTTTTCTCGACTGGGCGTAATCAAATAAACTCTTTTCAAAGACAAAACATGCAAATAAGGTGACAGCAGAGAACTTTTTTTAAAGATCATGTTATACAAACAAATACATATCTTCTTCGAAAATTTGTCAATTACAAAACTTCTAAAAGGAAAAGAACACTTCACCACCAAAGTTTGTGTTGTGTACAAGGGAGTCCTATAGTGGTGTGGAGAACTCTCCAAACTGTAGGGTTGAGAAACGTCATAAACACCTATTTGATTATGGAAGTTCCTTTTTTTTGTGCCAAACATATCATTTTTATTTTTTCATAAAACATCATCAAAAAAAATATTTCACAGTGATAGGCATTTTCAATGTGAAAATAAAATTCATGTGAAAATTTGGAAATTCAGCAAAACATTGACAGATTATTGTGATAATGTGTCATTAGGTAAGAGTGAAGGTTTTTACTTGATATAGGTGAATATTGTAATGTGTTTAACAAAACTCAAGGACAATGGATGATCATAGTCAGAATCAGCGTGGAGTTTTAATTGGTGTTGTTCTACATAGCTGATGTATCATTCAGTAGGGCTGTCTGACAGATATGATCTATGATGCCCAGGTATGATGTACACTACTAGATCATGGCCCGCAGAGTACATTTCATGTTCTCTTCCGAGGATAATCAGGGTTTTTGGAGTGCACAATAGGACAAATCATCAAAGTATGTTTTAAATGTTTGAAAATCAGTCATGTTTGATTAATTGACCTCGAAATATTAACATGAAAAATAAAAGCATACTATCCTTATTATTTTCTTCAAAAATATGTTTGGGTGTTTCCGGATTCATGCCATGTAAAACACTAAAATTTGTTGGTGATGTCCTGGGCGGTTGTCACGGTGATGTATGTGCGGTGGTCATGCAATGTCGAAAAAACATGATGATCATGTACAACAATCAAGCCTCACCATTGTTTTATTGCTTTAACCATGTCGTAAGACTAGAATAACAAGTTTAAATCAATAAACGCCATCAGGTTAGCACCATGCAGCCCTGATGTCACTCAACTTTGGTTAGCATTGTTTTCATGTGTCACACACTTGTGAAATTTTATCAGTTGTTTTTTAATCCTTCATTCTGCTCTGCCATATTTCAGTAATATCAGCATTGTTGTACTGGCTGAAAAGTCACACAAAATGCAAAATGATGTTCCCTATTGGTGGCTGTTTCCTATTGGTCTATTGGTGGTTGTTTCCTATTGGTCTATTGATGGTTGTTACCTATTGGTCTATTGGTGGTTGTTTCCTATTGGTCTATGTTTCCTATTGGTGGTTGTTTCCTATTGGTCTATTAGTGGTTGTTTCTTATTGGTGGTTGTTTCCTATTGGTCTTTTTTTCCTATTGGTGGTTGGTTAAACTCGTCTAATTTTAAACCCAGTTTCTCAGACAATGTCATCCTTTTGTCTGATTCATCAATCGTTGTACACAAACTAGATTTTTTATTTTTAAAAACATTCAATTACAATTGATCTAGACAAAGTCTATATATAGATGGAGGTTAACGACTGACTGTGATGAAGCAGGGTAAAGGTAGTGATTCACCGTACCAGTAGTATAAAGACATCACAAGGGGGACAATGTCCTCATACAAAAAAACAATCTTTAAATCCAGCTTGTGTGTTTTATTTTCCTTTTCCTTGTTATTTTCAACCAAACACTAAACTAGATCCCGTTGTTAAAAGATTCACAATAGACCAGTTGCATAAATCAGGATTGAAACAAATCTTTCTAAACACCTTTCTAGCCCAGTCGTCAGTGACAGCTGGAGAATACCTAACCATAATTCCCTTCCCAAACAGGATGGTACACATTACATCAGTAAAGCCGAACTTTGACCTGATTTCTTTGTCCTAGGGTCAGAGGTCAGACTGCCTGACAGCCCCCGTGCTGGTGTAGGGAGGGAACAGGAGCTAGGTAGAAGTAACTCTGTTATTGGGACGAGGGTTAGGTGGAGCTGGGGTGTATGTTACCACAAAGGGGGGTCACTGATGCATTTCCTTCACTCTTTGTGCGATGACAATCAGTACACAGAAAAACGAAAGATTGTCTGTCTGATTGTGTATTCAATTTTAGCAGCAACCTGACAGGAATTCATGAGTTTGAACAAATTCTTGTGGTTCATTGTTTAGGAATTTGGTATCAATAACAAACAGGAAATTTAGTTTGTCAGCTGTAAGTTAAAGACACAAGTACGAAAAATCATGCAGTCGTGGGATGTTGTATAGAGTCCTTACATATAAACTCCACTACCCTATCAACCTGGATAGCATTTTGATACTGGATATTACTTTTCCACCTGAGATATTACATCTGACCATGTGACATACCGGTATTTTTTACCTGTGGTTTGCCCAGGCGACACATACAAGGTGAGGAGGTTTTTGTGGTTCATGTTTATGGATAAAGGATGTTCGATCAGTTGTACAGGAAGTGACCTAACAAAACACCAAGTGCACTTCACCGACAACCAAAACAACAACAGATCTCCGCAATATGGAATCACTAAATATTGATCCATCAGTAGAGAATGCATGTTCCCTCCACTGTGGGGACTCCCTATTGCCCAGTATCACATGACAAACCCTTACAAAAATGAAAACTACACTCTCAGAATGCCCCATATTCCGGTATTTGGTTTAAATTATGAAGTTTAGAATTTCTTTCATGAAAGTTTTAATGATTAAAATCGATTAGTTATTGACAGAACTTTGAGAGACTGAAACTAATTACTAATATGTTTTCATGTTTTTTCAGAAACTACGCAGTCTTTCACAGCGACGACGCTCTGCACCTGGAGCAGTGCTGTTCAAAACACTCGGAAATCGCTCCAAGAGCACGGCCAGCCTTGGGTGAGTGGCTTTATTTGGTTTTTAGGAGAATGTGACACGATAAACTCATTACAGACACTGTCAGTTATAATCATTGTCAGTTCCATGTACACTTGTACTGTATAGGAATTTTTGAATAGATTTCATAAATATTTTGGGCGTTCCGTTCCAGGGCAGGGGTGAAAGTTCATGATAAAACATATGCCTTCCTAGCTTTCTAATAGATTTTTTATAACTTTAATGGGTACAAGCTGAATATTATTAGCCCATACTATAATCATGAATGCTTTATCTACAAAAAATGCCATTAAGGTGTACCTGTCTCCATACACATATTGCAATGAATGCATGTAATGCGCCGTTCATGTGCCCAACGACACACCCCTCCCGTCTATGGCTATTGAATGCCTGCAATACCTGTACATCAGTGAAGAGCTGGGTGTGCGGCGTTACATTGTAATTCTTGATTGTTAAAAAGGAAAGGTGTGTAAATTATGGGGACACCCTGTGAGGTACGAAGTTGCCACCAGTGTGTATGAGGTAGTCATTTCTGAGAAGCGGGGTGGCACCTCTATCTAAAGGGTCACGACTGCTGCTTCATAATATTTGATATTACCCAAACCACATGGAGCCATGTTTACATTATCGTTTTATTTGACAGAGAAATCAATGGATTTGTATGGAAATACACATCCCACCAACCTTTGTGTATGTGAGCTAAGGAAAGTTGTCAATAGTCGGTCCTCTATATCGGACTGGTATATTTTTATATACTTGTAGTATGTCCATGTCATTATCCCGTTGGATTGTGTGGTCTGTGTTTGAATTGCAACTGTGGAGGATGACAACAGATTACACGCCTTCGTTAAAGTTCATTGGTAGCGTAACTTCACTGAGCTCCATTTCCGTCGGATGCCTTTTAAGAAATTACAATACATTTCATCAAAGCTTTAAAGAAAATATTTTCAATAGCATTTAGTAATGTTGTGTGGTGATTCATACAGTTACAGTAGGTGATCGACTGAGTCCTAGTCACACCAGATACAAGGTGTGAATGTACAGTATCAAATAAATTATCATTTTGACTGTAGAAAGTTGAGTTGTTAAATTGATTACCTTGGCTACAATAACTAGGCAATGGTGAAGTTTCTGGTCTTTAGATAGTGGTGGCTTTGCAATAGAGAAGGTGTTAATATTAATACAGATAGATAAAGTTCTCTTTGAAACTTGTGGCATTTTCTAACATTGAAAGTGGCTAGAAGTATACAATGGAAAGAGGCATTGCCCACACTGAGGAAGACTGGATCCTTTGGTCAGATATATCACAATGTGACAGTAGAACCAAAGCCAAAACATTGTACAGTTGGGATTTTTAAGGATTTTAACCCTGGACATCAGATTGTTTTATCACTCTAACCAGCAACGGAGCTAACTGGTCAACAGAACTGTTCTAGGCCAACTGTGCTACTGTTATATCGAAAATCAAATTTAAGGGTATGTAACTTACATACGCAAAACTGTAGTGAAGTGGGACAGGGTTCCATTAGTGTGACAATTAAATTTACGAATAACATTTTATGAATTCTGAGCAAAGAATTATGAGTAGACAGGGTAGAATCCCCGGTAGTTGAAGTGACACTGGGTTTCTACTTTCATTTCATTGACAGATACCTTAATATAGACAAAGAAGAGCTGATATCATTTTTGAGATATATTACAAATGATTGCTATTTCAATTTCGTATCTAAAACAATTTTCATTGAGTGGGTTTCCCTCTACTACTGAATGGTGGGGTCTATGTGGTATGCTAACGTGTTGTGTAATTGGGTTGTAGGTATTTAGGACACATTTCTTCTTTTCAAACTCGAGTCTACTTGTCCCCCAATGTTTTGTAATTCTTAAGTGGTTTTAAGCCTGATCTACTTCCCCACATATTGTTTCTTTATGAATTAAAGCAAGGAGTTTCCTATTGTGATTTTTTTTGGTCCCAATCCATATTCCAATAGAAATTTTGATAGAGTTCAAGTACCTGTTTTTATTTAGGGACAATGCCCCTTAGTAGTTCATGTGTATCGGCTATACTGTTCTAATTGGAGGGGAAAAAATGTGTTAGCTCTGATGGCAATCTTCCTACTTAACTACAAATACCTGTGTTTTTAACTACAAATACCTGTGTTTTTACCTGTCTATCTACCTGTCTTATATGCGGCTATACCTATATTGATACTTGTACCTAACACACTCCCACACAGGAATGCCGTCGGAATGTCACAATAGGTGACAATCTCACACATGCTTCATTGGATGACACTAAAACACACCTCGTGGACAAACTTAATGGCGATACGGATCACTCTCCAACCTTCCTACGACGATATTTTCTTTTAAAGGATATTTGTTAAACTTTGCTGTTTTAAAAGGATCAGATTGATGTTCAATTGGGAAAAAACATTTACGATTTCGCTGAGATTACATAAACAATTTATAAAAAAAAATATAATGCACCAAATGTGTTTATAATTTTCTAACATTAATCAGGTTAAACATGTTTATTTCTACCTGCTACACAAGAAGTTCAATGAAGTACATGGTACATTTTCATTACAAGTTATAAACTAGACTTAAAGTATTTCAGTTACAGGATTTTTTTTAAAATCTTGTTTCAAACAAATTATCTAGATTTTCCATGATTAAAAATTAACTTTAAAAGTCATTTGACAAAATAATCATATAAGTTGTGAAAACTGAGTTTGTTATATAGGTTTGAGGTACTCAGACATGATTAAGGAAGGTCGTCACCTTGTTGACCTTTCCAATTTTATCGTTTTATCCCACCCATTATCCCCGATATCAGATTTATAACATCCACAATCCTCATAGGGGATCTACAGGAAATCTCATTCAGGATGCAACAATACAAAATACTGGACCAGGTAAATCTACCTGTAAAGGTAGAGTCATTAGTGACACAGGTATGACAGAAATGACAATATAGGCCAAGTCTGATACCTTACAGCACAGATACAATTACATTGCTATTTGTTGTCTGTGGGTTGGATTATTCTGCAATAAAGCATTTTAATAGGCCAATAGGTTCATTGTGAATATTATGTTTGCGGTTATATTTGATTGTACCATGTCATATTTCTGGGGAGGCGATTTGTGGTGGAGTTTAGGACAATCTGCGATACAATTCAAACGTCAATCAAACAGGCTGGGAAGCTACATTAAGATCTGCCACTATGGTTTGACCATTTTGTGTATAGGAGTCATGACGAAGAATACCAGCACCATGTCTGACGTACAGCAGATGGTCTTGTGTGTGGTCTCTTATTGGTATTCAATAAGTACAACAAACATTACTCTCTCCGAGTATCCAGTTCAACACAAAGTTTCATTAACTTTTCATAGTTACAATAGATACCCCATTCCCATTGTGACAGAAATAGTATTTTTTTCAATTTAAAGCCCAAGAATAGTTGTGATCTTGATGATAAACTAGACCGATAATAACTGACCTCTGTTACTGATAAAATACCTGTAAAGAAAATCAGGCAGAAAAAGGTTTGTCCGGCAGTTAAATGAAGCATGCCAGTGACTTCATCTGAATCCTGTAAATGTTTTGTTAGAACTCCCCGCTGTCTGTTGATCGATGTCCAATCTATTCTTCATGGTCATCAGTAACGGCTCCCCTGATGGTTGTTTGTAAATAATGCCACGGTGGATTAAAGCAGTCATGAATATTTCATAGGTCATGGGATTCGGACCCTAATATGGACACTACAGCATGATACGTCTGAACTTTAATATTGCCACATCAATGACATGTGTTTTGTTGATAACAGGAAAAACATCACACACCACAATCAATATAGCGACTGTCAAACCCCTGACAGTTATTACATTCGCTATCCTTCTCACTGTATAAGTCACTTTGGAGGCTGGCCAATCCTTTATTTCGGAACCACACATTATTTTGTCTTCATTTGTAAGAATGACTTTGCCTGTTTGTGGTTTTGATGTGGTCTATTAGATTCTGGTCATGCCTATTGGCCACCACAGTTTAGTGAAGTTTAATGGTTTTATTTGTAAATTAAATAAGCTGACAGTCATGAAATAAGGTTTTCGACTATTTACAGCTAAAAAATAAATCTCCTTCCCAGACGAACAATATTCATTTTATAAATGTTTTCAAATAAAAGTTAATGCACAGGTTGTTAGTAGTAAGATATAGTGGGAAGTTACATGTTCTACCACGTACACAGGTTGTTAGTAGTAAGATATGGTGGGAAGTTACATGTTCTACCAAGTACAGACTTGAACAGTTAACCAGTGAAGGGGACTGGGCTAGGATTGACTGGCGAAGAGACCTGAAAATGTCCTGTATAAACAGGTTGTTCATGGAAATTATCACATATTGCCGTTTATAGACAGGTTATCCATTGGAGTTGTCCTTTATAGACAGGCTGTCTGTTGGATGTGTTCTTTATAGAAAGGTTGACTGATCGAATTGTCCTTAATGGACAGGTTGTCGGTAACCTGTTGGATTTGTCTTTTATAGATCTATGCATTGTGTGTACTGGATTATTAGATTTGTCTTTCATAGACAGGCTATCCTTTATACCCAGGTTGTCCTTAATAGACAGGTTATCCTTTATACCCAGGTTGTGCTTGTCCTTTATCCCCAGGTTGTGCTGTCTTTTATACCCAGGTTGTCCTTTATAGACAGGTTATCCTTTATACCCAGGTTGTGCTTGTCCTTTATACTCAGGTTGTGCTTGCCCTTTATACCCAGGTTGTGCTGTCTTTTATACCCAGGTTGTCCTTTATAGACAGGTTATCCTTTATACCCAGGTTGTGCTTGTCCTTTATACCCAGGTTGTCATTTATGGACAAGTTGTCTGTTGAAGTTAAATTTATCAACAAGTAACGTGTTGGAGTTGTCTTTAATAGATGTGTTGTGTGTACTGGATTATTAGTGAGTAGTGGACACCTGATGGAAGATGGATATATCTGTTATGTAACACCTGAGTTTTATAGATGGATGTGTCCTTTAGCTGTCCTCAGCCTAAGTTTAACACATTATTATAGCTATGTGTAACATACCTTACTGACCTCAAACACCAGGTGACCTACGTAGAATGAATAAACTAATTAAGGTAAATGATCCTACTGGGCACTTTTGTAAAGCACTAACTGGTTTTTGCATGGACGTGTAAGAAATGTGTAGTATTGTGTGGTGGGTTTAGCCCGGGGGCCTGGACAACTTGGTGAATTGCCTGTGATGTGTTGTTAGGTTAGAATATAGTGGTCAGTGTCCAGAGGAATGTTGTAAGATCTACCCACATATTTGTCTCCTAGCAAGACGTCACAGGCAGGATTAATTATTGAACAAATCTCATCCCTTTCCCTGTGTTACCAGAATTACTATCAGTCAAATTTTTGTGGTTAAATTTACTGTGTTTCATAATGAAAATCATGTCTGCCTGAGATATGTAATAACTCTTTCCAAGCATGTGACAGTTATATAGGCATTTTTACTGTTTTGAAGAATGGTCTTGAATTAATGTGTGGCAGATTTCACGGAAACTATGTAAGGAAAAGTAACAACAGCAAATGGAACCGGGATCTAGGTTCTGATTAATGGAGGACTCCTAATTATGTGTTGTGAAAGTGTGTTCAGTAATTGTTACCTACATAACAGTGATACTGAATATTGGAATATACCTTAATGTGCCATATAGTAAGTATTGTAGTCCACTTTCTCCAGTGAGTGATTATGAGATCATTAAACGACCACTCAGGATATATAACGCCATGTCTGATGATCTCCCAGGGATATAAAGGATCATGTAGCCAATTCCATATTAAAAAAAAATATAAAAAATATGATGTAACTTGTCTAACTTTGACACCCTATAATCAGAATACCTGTTAAAACAGAAATTCTACTGCATCTCTCTTTGTGTATTTTTAACCTATCGTTCAGAAAATTTTATTGAAGAAAAAAAATAAGAAAAAATGTCATTGTACTTCAGACATGCTTCTTAACATGTTCACATTGTTCAAGCACTGACGTCTCATTCTTAACCGTTATATCACCCATTTTTACCAAATATGATTTTAAAATTCCATATCAACAAATTGAAAAAGTAAGGCTCAAATTTTCATAGCGATACTGTCTAAAAGCTGAGGTAACGGTACTGTTGTTTACTGTCAAGGAGGTGTATCATTTAATAGTACAGGATTCACTGTATTTCCGTAAACAATCCGAACCCTTGTTCCGCCCCAGAACATTAAAATGTTCGTATGACACACATGAATGCTATCCATATTACCTTGTATATGAAAATAAGTGTGTTTTTTGTGGTTTTTAACGTGACGGCAATCAACGTGTCAAGAGCCTGTTTGTAGACAATGTCGGTGTGTAGACATAGAGCCACCATTGTTTGGTGGACTTGTCCCAATCCTCTGCGTAATAACCTTCCATTATAAGTACGACCTTCCACAATAGATATGACCTTCCAGTGGGGACTGTTTCCCCATTAAAATCTAATTAAACCTACAACTTCCCTTACAAATATAAACCTTTCTACTCAAACTGTTACACCTTTTTATAATCATGTTTAATAAGTCACCTTTCGTTGTCATTGATGTAAGCGGTAGTCCTAATTGTCATTTTTACAAGCATTTTGATATTCATATTGTCTCTTTAAGTTGACCCCATAATTTGTCTTTCTGTGAGGAACGACAACTAAATTGTCTGGTACATAGTGTTCGCCCCCTTTTGATTATTCTTTGATGTCGGGATGGGTTGGAAATGGCTCAGCCATTATATAGCAATGATGTAATTACAGTGAAGGTGTTGGTCAATACCTGGTGAGGTGGGCTAGGGATGAATAATTAAAGACAAGCACTTTGCTTATTGGTGTAATACTTCTATTCCTCAGGTCACATGGTGCAATGGGAAAGAAAGAAATGGACATCGTTAATCCGTTTCGACATCCGGATACGGTCAACCGCCAGTACCTGATGGAGGGCCAGGTGGAGTTCTGTCGCGTATGTATCTCGGCCTGTTATGTACTAAAGCTCACATTTTTGTCATTGGTTTATTACTTCTGTAAAATATTAGACAAATTGTTGTAAATAGTTGACAATAGAAGAAAGGCAGAAATATTCCTTGTCAGCTCGGCTATAACGTGAAAATCAGGTTTCCAAAGAACAATATTACAATTATAGTTGATTAACTCAGATATAGGAACAAATTGAAAGAAAGATTTTAACTGTTCTCATTGTGGGGAAAAAAGTGCTTTGACACATATTGGCGGCCATGAGTTCAATCGGTGTGACTTTGGGCACAGCTATAGCCCGCAAAAAATGTCTTATCTTCTAGTGTCATCATCACACCCATATACTTACGTACCAAAAATTGTAGATATAGGATTATCGTAAGATTGGTCGTGTCAGAGTTATGATCACGCTTTGCTTTATACAATATAACCCATGTGAATGGCAGATGAGTATATGAATAGGCTATCTACAATGCATTGTCTCGCTTAAATGATTGTCTTTAGCCTGTGTGATATTCGCGCTTCAATTGTAACTATGGAGGGAGGACTTGTACGCGTCCAGTGCCCTCTCCTTGTGGTATGAGGCCCCCCTGTGTACGTAGTAAGGCAATGCTCATGAATGAACAGGACTATCCCCGCTTTTGGATTAAGACACTGATCAGTTGTTAATAACAATATCTCATCAACACGCTCCTGACACATATACGGTATGAATGGTTGTGTTTGGCCGCAGCCGTTGATTGTAACATCCTGTCAGTATTAGATACCACTCTGACAGATACTTGGCCTTTATTATAATTCAACGGGTTGCAAACTACCATGGAAGAATGAAAAAGGTAAAATATCATTCATGCTTTATAACTTTTTTGTTTTTCAGTCGGAACACCTGTTTGACCGTTACCTTTTCTTGTTCAATGACCTTCTCTTGGTGGCCAAACAGAAGTGAGTCCAATCCTCTTTTGCACTTGAAAGCTTAACAGCAAACATATACAAACATGATAAACTAGGAGCAGTTTAACAGTGACTGTCTGTTAGAGCTTCTCATTCTCTGACAACGATTTCAATTTTACAAATTCAATTAAACAGAACACTGACAGGCGAAAAAAATATTTGAATGACAGTAAAAAAAAATCTTTTTTATCTCATTCAATTTAATGGAACAATGGCTATATCATCATATGATTATAAAGGTGTTTGAATGATGATTTCAGTTTGCTGTAAAGATATATTGATATATTCAGGAGTGATGTGTTTATGAAATCACCAGACACTTCAACAATAACTCTAGTGAGAGACATAATTATGACTTGTGAATATTTAGAGCACCTGTCATGCATATTAAAAAACATAATTGATGAATCTCTTCTAGAATTCGGTATGTTTGCCATATTGTTTATTTATATTTCTGCTCCAGCAAATTGTATAGTCTTAAAAGAAGATTCTTTAAAAAACATGTATTTGTTATTTTGATGTTAATATCTCATTTGAAAAACAAAAACTATTGTCCCTAAAACTTTTGTTAGGAAAATGTGTGTCGGGGTCATCGGTGAAGGTACATGTAGACTTGTACAGTCAAGGTAACCTTGTCATTGGACCTCTATGTTGGTAATGAATAGACGATGTAACACTATCTCCTCCAACATCAGGGCCCTGTGGCTCTAGTATTACTGAATTTGATACACTCCAACCACAGACTCCTTGGTTTGTGTGGAATTTTTAATAAAAACTGTTGTCGATAATAGTGTTATTTATATTTTATCTTTTCGAATGGAAAAACTGAATACATTATTATTAATGAAACATAGTTGGTAAGGTGTTGTATTTCATTTCCTAAATCTTTTTCAAGAATATCAATCTTCTTATCATAAAGCTCTTAAGATGCCACATAAGCAAAAACATATACGATATCATGTGTTGCTAATTTTTAAAAATCGTGACTTCCTATTGTAGGACAAGTACTACGTTCAAACTGAAGGAACGTGTTAGGGTTTGCGAGATGTGGATTTCCAACACGGTACAGGACATCACAGATCTTTCGCGACCCTTGGACAGGTCCTTTGTAATTGGCTGGCCAACAACCAACGTCATAGCTACCTTCAAATCCACCGAATCCAAGGAACTCTGGTTTAATAAGTTGACAGAGTAAGTTTTTTAATTATTAGCTATTGTCAGGTCACTGGTATTATTTTTAAATCTTTCACTGTCAAAGCAAGTTCACACTGTTTCTGTTAAATTTACTTAATATATAATGAAAATTTGGTATTTTTGGAAAGAGGGACTTTATTTACCTTGTTGTTTTTGCAATATTTGAAGTTCAGTCATTCATAAAAAGATAAAACTATATATAAACATGCATATACAACTACTAAGGTGTTGACTACTTAAAACATTAAACTCTGTTTAATCAAACACAAGCTGTTTACTTTTTAACCAATATCAAAGACACATATTTCAGCGAAGGTAAATCTAGCTTGATCTAATAAAACATTGCTAATATTTTGTAAAACAAATTAACTTATTTTCAAAACAAAAAGAAATCAATTTAAAGTAGGATTACTGTAAGAAATGGGCAGCTTACCATAGAGAAAATAGACAGAGTGATGTGTTTATCTGATCCTCACACATTAGTCCCCTTGGGTGTTAATTCCTATGTACACACTGTGCTATGAGTCCTATCTGTTTGATCATTACAGACAAATTGAGGAAGAGAAATCAAAAGAAACATATTCCTGCCAAATGAAGTTGAGTGTGTTTTACAGAGAACTGGAACAGGTGAGTAATCCTGATTGAGAAGACAATACCTGGCAGTCACTGTCAAAGGTCAAACTGACACCCCCTACCTGTACCCAACCCCCTGGGGTTAAATTACTGACACAGAGTACACCTGTGTTCATTATATAGAAAGTTTCTCCCTTAACACCTCCTGTACTTACAGTCTGCTAATTCTCCTGAAAACTGCTCACCCTGTATATTATCAAATATTGACTTTGAAGGTAGGAACTGACCTATCGGGGGTCACCATCTGGGATCTCCATTAAGACAAGGGTATAATCCCAGTCACTTACCCCACTAATCATTGCTTGGCCCCTCATTGAGGTAACATGGGGACAGACAGGAACTCTTCCTGGGTATCACTGGTTGTCAAACTCATCATAAGGAAATTACACAAAAAGTCGCCCAGTGACATCACCACCAAAGTAAGTCACCTGCCTGCCACCTTATCTATTGTAAAGATGTACTAGATACTAGACTGTTTAAAACTGGGATGTACATTACTTAATTTTAATATACACTGCAATCTTTCAATTTACCAAATATGTTACTGATAGAACACATACTTTACATGCACTTACAAATGGTTCAGAATTGTGAATGACTTTATGTATTAACATAAGGATAAGAAAACAGGCTATAATGCTTTGTCATCTCCTAAAATCTGTCACATTTGATAGCTACTGTGTAATAGATGCAAGAAATAAGGATAGAAATATCAAACTATTTTAGCATATTCATGTTAATTTGGCTTTCTATGGAGTAACCACAATCTGGCTAGGCTAAACCTGTTAGGTATTCATGTAAATATAGCTTTAACAGGTAATGTTTGTGTTGTACTTGGTCCATATTGAGTTGTTACTGATGAACAAGGTCAACTGTAGTATCCCTACGTTATAGGGGTCATGTTTTTGTAATCACCCAGCATGTACTCAACACATGTGCACCTGGATAGGAAATTTGTATTGTAATATGATACAGATATACACTAACCTAATATTGTACCCACTGCCTGGTAGTAGTCTGTCCCAGTTAGATATTAATGTAAATAAATAAAACTGTGTTATCTGAATAATACGATGGATTTTCTGTACGTCTGTGCATTGTATTTCGTTATTGACAAAGCATTTAGAAACCTGTAATTGTTTTCAATACAATGTTTTATCGTGCAATATTGATTTTTAACCCAGTAGACTTCCGTTTTATGAAAGCAATGTAGGCCATGACTAGGTCAAGGAGTTTTAACATCGATAAAGCATTATTTATTTTCTTACATCTTTCAGAAATGCACCGTTGATATTGATTGTAATATGGAAGCAAGGGACGTGCTAAAGAAATGTCTGGACCACTTTCAAATTCCGGTGAGTTTGGATTCTAGAATGAAGAATTTGACATACTGCTTGTTACTACCTCTCTATTGCCCATTCTGATGTTTACAGTTGCATTTATGAAAAGTGCTCGAAACCTAATACCTTTTCTATACGAAATATATTTAAATATAAACTGGTCATATCTTTCTTGTGTTTCTGGATCGTAATATTTGCAAGAAGACACTAATTATAAGTCAGGTGTTGATAATAAGTGGCTGGGATCGAACTATCTCGAAAATAGTTTACCTTAATCAGGAACATTACGAAACAACTGAAACTATCTAGCAGTAACTTGAAGTTGCATGTTTTGGGTTTTAAATTTTTGACAGAGTGATTAATTACGAGTGTTGAAATAGTAACTGCATGTATGTACATCTATTGTCTAACATGGGGTGTGTGATTACAATGAGATGACCCAAGAAGAAAGACAATGCAGCTGTATAATTAGACACAGACAACATCTTGTAAACATATGCAAGGTCGTTGTAGTGATGTCATAAAGTGTAGGTCATTTCAGTATATTGTGGTGGAAGGAAGGGCGGGAAACATTGGGTAGTGTATACATATACTCACTGGCCTACTGCCAGTTTAATTCTTACAGCCATTTATAGCACAGCTTTTGTATTTAAAGACTTGACAAGGCATAAGTTAAACACATCGTTATAAAAAAACAAGTGCCTTTTGGCAATAAAACCACAGTATGTAAGCCTGTTCAGGTGACATTACAGCAGGTTTAGCTCGAGGTCTGTTGTACTGCATAACTTTAACACTGTCCTCAAACAAAAGCTGCTAATCTCCCTTAAACAGATTGAGGACTGCAGTATTTTCAAAGGTATACATCTCCACTGGGTTAATGATACTAGGGCCCATATTCATGAATACTTTCTCAGGCTCCGATTCTATGTTGAAGCCCAATCATTTGTTTTACTGATAAATTATTCAAATTTCACATTTTTCAATAATTTGGGGGAATTATGGAGATGCTCAAGACCAAAAAACTCATTGTCTAGACTTTGTTTTTTGACGAGTCACATGATTTCTTAAGAGTTGAAAAAAAGTTGGTTTGAGCACAGAATTCTTGCTTTAAGTTCAGTAACGGTTCATGAATATTGGCCAAGATGCATTTTGTCAGATTTCAAAATTCAATGTATTTTTTAAAAAGGACAAGATATGGGTATGTTGGTGTCTATTAGGATACATTAGTTGAGGAACTGTGTAGGACATACATTCTGGGGTCTCCCTCAGACCAGCTATCATTATTAATTGAAGCAAGTTTTTTTGTTTCTTTTACTTTTGTGCATCAATTAAGATATTTCAGCAGACAGTTTAAATAAAAACACAAAGACTTATGTTTATCTTCTTAATTTTGCATGCACAACAAACATAGTTTCTCCAGTTTTTAGGAGGCCACAAAACAGTGCTACATAAACATAGATAGAAACAAACTTGGAAATGATGCAGATGGTGAACTGAGATTACAAAATCTATTGTCAGTGTTAATAAGGGGGAGCATTATGGGATAAACAAAACCTTTTTTGAGTTTTGATAGGAGAGTAAATATCAGGTTTGAATATGAAATATCAACTGTAAATTTCAAATATGTACATATTGAACATATTAAAAATAATGTTGTAAGATCATATCAGAGTTGAACAATGAAGCAGGAAAAAAATTTGATTGTTATTTAAATATTGTGTAATGCTTTATCTCGTAGTTAAAATTTCGCACAGAGATATAGGTTATAGATACGGATAAGTAAGTAGACTTAATGTCTATATATAGATTATCAGGTGTAGATAGTACTGTACCTATCACAGGCATTGGTCATAATTCAGATCATTGTACGATAGTGTAATGTCAATATTTATGTTGATTAGTAATCACCGCGACAACCGGAGATGTCACTTTTTACTGATAACACCAACTCCTCATTTTATTTATAAATGTGATGAAAATACCAAAAAAATATTTTAGAATTAGTGTTGATGAATGTCGTAATCACAATACCAGTGGGTATTTTGTAATTGACACATGACCTAAGTGGATGTGTTATTATAACATGTTGGTCAACCATTAAACTCATGCCATGCTGTATATTAAGTCTCTTTGGTGTTGTTCACAGGAATCGGAATCCAATGAATACCAAATATGTGTCAAGTCTGGCAAGGAGGATACCCACTACGCTCTCATTGGTAAGTACAAACCTGGCAGACATACCCACTACGCTCTCATTGGTAAGTACAAACCTGGCAGACATACCTGCTTAAGTCTCATTGGTAAGTACAAACCTGGCAGACATACCTGCTTAAGTCTCATTGGTAAGTACAAACCTGGCAGAAATACCCACTACGCTCTCATTGGTAAGTACAAACCTGGCAGACATACCCACTACGCTCTCATTGGTAAGTACAAACCTGGCAGACATACCCACTACGCTCTCATTGGTAAGTACAAACCTGGCAGAAATACCCACTACGCTCTCATTGGTAAGTACAAACCTGGCAGACATACCCACTACGCTCTCATTGGTAAGTACAAACCTGGCAGAAATACCCACTACGCTCTCATTGGTAAGTACAAACCTGGCAGAAATACCCACTACGCTCTCATTGGTAAGTACAAACCTGGCAGAAATACCCACTACGCTCTCATTGGTAAGTACAAACCTGGCAGAAATACCCACTACGCTCTCATTGGTAAGTACAAACCTGGCAGAAATACCCACTACGCTCTCATTGGTAAGTACAAACCTGGCAGAAATACCCACTACGCTCTCATTGGTAAGTACAAACCTGGCAGAAATACCCACTACGCTCTCATTGGTAAGTGCAAACCTGGCAGAAATACCTGCTTAAGTCTAATTGCTAAGTACAAACTTGGCAAAAATACCTGCTTCAGTCTCATTGGCAAGTACAAACCTGGCAGAAATACTTGCTTCAGTCTCATTGGTAATTGCTCAGTACAAATCTGGCAGAAATACCTGCTTCAGTCTCATTGGTAATTGCTCAGTACAAATCTGGCAGAAATACCTGCTTCAGTCTCATTGGTAAGAGCTTGACACCTTTCTAGAGAGACCACCTAGAGCTTTACACCTGTCTAGAGAGACCACACACAGCTTTACACCTGTTTAGACTGACCACACACAGCTTTACACCTGTCTAGACTGACCGCATACAGCTTTACACCTGTCTAGACTGACCGCATACAGCTTTATCCCTGTCTAGAGAGACCACCTACAGCTTTACACCTGTCAAGACAGACCACCTACAGCTTTTCACCCGTTAAGACAGACCACCTACAGCTTTACACCTGTCAAGACAGACCACCTACAGCTTTTCACCCGTTAAGACAGTCCACCTACAGTTTTACACCTGTCAAGACAGACCACATGCAGCTTTTCACCTGTCTAGAGAGACCACATACAACTTAACACCTGTCTAGACAGACCACTTACAGCTTTACACCCTTGTTCCTTAAGACAGAAACAAGTGTGAAGTGTTTCCTGGTGTCTGGTCAGTACATACATTAGCAGAATATTTAGTAAAAAATCTTGTTTTCTGGACATATTTTTAAAGAGTTTCTATCCTCCTGCTGTGATCTACTGGTGTTTGTGTTCGCCATGCCTCCAATCACAATATTCTCCCGATCACAATATTTAGCCACGTCTCCTGATCACAATATTTAGCCGAGACATGATGATGTATAGTTGTTGTGACAGTCAAAGCTGTGAAATCCTTATCACCACTCCTCCCTCACCAGGTGGCCTTTTTCAATCCTGTACCATATGATTAAAATCCGGTCAGACACATTCTTTCTACCACCACAGAAACTATCTGTAATATGTCCACACCCAAGGTCAAGAAAAATATGCCAAAAGGATTCTCCGATTTAGATAATAGTTGAAGAATTGCTGTTTGGGGTGATATAAGGGGTCTCGTGTGGAGCCGGTCCTTTTGACCCTGAAAGTCCAGGTAACTACCCGGTCACATACCTTTGGTAAAGGATCCCATCATAAAATAGTTTGTTGAACTTATGATTTGTTTCTTTTATGTTAAAGGTTTCTCAAAACTAGTTTTAAACATATTAAATCTAAGTCACAAAATAAAAGTTCTTGTATTCCAAGTTTATCTGCATCTTGTAGACATAAAATTATTGCTATTTTTGGATTATTAATTAATATTTAACAACATTTTGACCACTGGATCATGTGTCCAGGTGTTGACGGATGGTTGCCTGACCGATTACAAATTTAGTCCTACCCGCTGATAACAATCAGATGGGCAAACAAATTCAGAGGATATTGTCCGTGCTCAATGTTCTGAATTACCAGCGAAGTAGGTAGCCCTGCCTTATTAGCCGACAGACAAATACGAGAGTAAACATTTCGGACAGAAACGTGTTGATCATCACGTAAAACTTGAAAAGATATGTAAACCATGACCCACTTTGGTCCCTAGCAAGATATAGGTGGACATAAGAGGACACCAGTCTCACATTTGATCAAGCGTGTCTTGTACAGGTCAATTAAAATATAAACCAAGTTCAATTGTAGTGGAGTTTTAACAAATAATGGTGCATGTGACCATCAAGGCCTCTGCTTCATGACATGGCTGAAATGTAAATACCCTTATGTGGCCTGGTCCAGTAAAACAGGACTAGTCATATACATGTCTTCATTGTGACATAGGGTTGGATCAGCTGTTTTATACGGTATATGTGTTTCTCTGTAGCACTTTTTATACATGTTTTATAGATCTGCATGTCATATACATGTCTTCATTGTGATATAGGGCCGGATCAGCTGTATTATATGGTATATGTGCTTCTCTATAGCACTTTTTATACATGTTTTATAGATCTGGTGAATACAGGCTACAACAGAGAGAGTCTTTCCAACACTCTTTCATATACCCATCAATTCAGTAATATGATTTAACAATTCATTTGATGAACATAGTCTCCAAGTCTGTGATCTATTAAGCATTCTATGGAATGATGACACACAACACACATAATTGGTTTTAAATATTGGTTTTGCATTATATAATATCCTATAAAAGTATCTCGGAAAAGACTTGGATCATTGGTGAAAGGTTAATATATGGTCCATTTAAACACCCGTCTCCCCCTCCTGGTATTGACACTGGGATATAATAAATCCAATGTCAATTTTTGTGGTCATTTTTTTTTATGTTGAATTAGTTGAAATAAATGTTGAGTATGTTTACACAGGACTAATTACACTGCTGAACAGGAAGGATATACAGTTTGGCCTCTTTCAGGCACAAGGTCAAAAAGGCTGACTGACAAGGTAGTGTTGACCAAATATTTGAACTCCATGCTCGTGACGACTTTAGTCAATACTTGGAGGTTGAAGAGTGGAGGCCATAGATTGTTCTCTTTTATTTGGATATTTGTATTTCTATTTATAGTAAAAAACAATGTTAAATTGTTGTAGTTTTGTTTCTTTCAAAACTGTTTAGTTATGGTGATGAGTTGAGAAGTTGACTTGAAGTCTTTTGTATATTGCCTTGTGTGGGGGGGTGCTGTCGATAGTTGGGTATCAAATTTCACGACTTGTTTCTCCCAAGTCTGTGATGGACTATCTGATAGAATGTGACATGTTAAATATGGACAATTATTGTCACAGCCTCTGGTTTACATTTCCTTAAACTGAAAACATCAAAAGTACACTGTTAAAAATTCTACACATATTTGTGTTTGAAATTTGGTCATTATTTGGTCTGAATTCATATACCTTTCTTTGATGTGGTCAGTTAAATTAACCTTTACAAGTGTTGATATGTCGGTAATTGAGGCTGAGGTTACAGTGGTCAATTTTACTGAGGTGACCTCTGCTACATTGTGATTTAATCACTGTATACCTGTATTCAAACCAAACTTCCAAGCATTCCATTGGTTGGACTATTAAGATAACTAAGGAATTCCATTGGTAGGGAGCAATATAGTGTCAGACTGACTCAATCAATATCTTTAAGGAAAATTAAAATACCTATGTTTAGACATTGATAGTCCCGAGATCTAGCGTCAGGACAGGTTTGAGAATCGTCAGGTCACAGGACATATCTGACCAATTTGGCCTTTGATGTTGCCATTTAACCAGGGTGGGATGGTACTAGCTAGTACTGTTGGCACCAGGCAGGGGTCGTCAGGTCCATATCGTAAATCTTGTGTCCATTTCCTTACAAGCAAACCAGAGACATCTCAGTTCTACTAATGGTTAACAGAGAGAAACATTTAAATATAGGACAATTACTACCCACATTAATCTGTAAACATGCTTGTTTATACACATTTATGTATATAAAGGTCACATAACAATTTAAATATTTGAAAGAAAAAAATATCCACCCACCTTCTAAATATCTTGCCAGAATACACATTATACCTTTGGAATATTTGTAAACATATTTCATTATTATAGAATAGTCCACTTGTTAATTTTTTATGTATCAAATGTGACCTACACAGAAAGCTTATCTTCCAAGTTTGATGTTTGCTGGACTGATTCTCAATTGTCATTGAATTATTTCTATACCACACAAAACCAGAAAATGTTGAAACACATTCCTGTTTCAAAGGTTTTGTTCTTGTTATGTAAAGAAGACTTTTACACCCACAAAAAAATGTTTAAATGTTTTGTATAGAACATGCGACAACCACTATCTGATCCCATGTTGTGTACGTTTCCTATTATGAATTCCTTACCTGTCTGTGTATGAGAAACCTGTGATTAGAGTTGGTAGACCTGGACGTGAGGTAACACAGGTGTACCTAACACCAGTGTTATATAACATGTGCTAATACACCTGTAACTGCCGTCTGATGATCGGCTGTATTCCATCATAACAATATGGTATATGCTTGTTTGTGTCACGGTTCACTGATCCCTGTCTACCTATTGTATGACGCCCACAATAAAAACTTCTAATTTCTTATGAAATTTTTCAAATTCTAGAATCCCTTCATTATGAGGGAGAAATCAAATTCACACAAGTGCCCCTCCCTCAACCCCAATCCCCATCCCCCTTCTCCCACATGTGTCCTCAAAACCCATTAAATTCCTTTTAATGTCTCACTTAGAATTGATTCTATTTGAAACATTCATTTTGCATTCAGTTTCTCTCAAACAAGGTAAAATATTCTAACCTTTTCAAACTGTGTACTTGTTTGGTCGTTGGTGATGTATAATATGTCACATTTAACTCTATAATGAGGTATTGTTTTGATAAAAAAAAGTAAGGGCACTTATTTAACTCGTCCAGATTGATCCCGTCAGCACCTAGTCTGGGATAATGGCACGTTTGTCTCAGCCCTGCCATACCTAAATGGAGATAATTGAGTTAATTATAGAACCAGTGTACGGCCTGATATCTATGCTGGTTCCCATGTTCCTAGCTATCACAGATTCTCTTGTTGTTTTTGTTATATACACCAGTGCATTCCTATATACACTATATCTATGTCTGTCTTGTAAAGTTTTGCGTCAGTCTGAAGAGATTTGTCAAATTATTTCATTAAATGGTATAATCTTATCTGCCCATGGGTAAATTATAGGAACAAGTCTTAGAGTGATAGAGATACAGGTAGTTTATGTGTAGATATATAGGTAGTTATGTGTAGATATATAGGTAGTTATGTAGGGTTGTACCTGTACAGTAAGATATTACCTCTGCTTAGGTATGATATTACCTTGGCCTAGCTCTACACTAAGTACATACCTACGTAGCCTAAACTCGTCACGGTCCCTTCGTCACAGGTATACAAATAGTCAGTGGATCATGGAACAGCCAGGTAACTGACAGGTCGTCACTGATTAGTGCCCACCCCCTTTACCTGTTCAAAACAGGTAGATTGGGACTGCCTCAGGTAGATCAAGTCAGTGTACTGTTGGATGTGTGCTAACACGCTAGTGTTCGTTGGGATTTAAAGCTTGTAGAGTGAATAATGACCAAACCGAGGGATTTTACTCTTTAATTCCTGCATGTTCCTCTACATATAAAAATACCAGTGGACTTTTTAACTTAAATGTTATACAAGTGATCATGTTACTCATCATAGACGAAGGTAAGTTTGACACATAGATATGTTGTGTCACTCTCACAGGTACAATCTCGTTAACATGGACTTCAGACTTGTCTAAAGTCTGTAACAGTCAGTGGTGATCAGGGTTTACCCTAATTAAGAAACTAAATTTCCTTACTATTGTAACGTAGCTAGATCTCAAACATGAAAATAACTTATTCAAAGATAAATATGATATTTCTTGTAACAAACTTGTTTTCAATAATTTCAACTTTTTATGTTGTAATTAAGATACAACTATTACAGAATAAGTTGAATTAAACAAAAAATTCAGCTGAAAAAAACATATCAGGTTATTATATTATGTTTATAGTAATAGCTTGTAGTAAACAAGTTTTTTACAACCTTGTCTAACATAGAGGTTGTACACATAGAGGCACCTCCTAATATATATACCTCCATATATGGCAATTAATGTTGAATCGTTAACTGTGTATACTGTGAACATTGTTAATTTTTGGCAAAGGAAAAGACCCGTTATTTATAGAATAACAAAAGATGACAGTATTGTTATATAGAAGTAAAACAATGATCAGGCTTCTAGTCATAGAACAATGTTTTTATCGTTACAGGCCACGAAAACCCATTCAATATAAAGATGAGCCATGTCCGTGATATTTACCAGACCCGACCAGATGAACCCATAATTCCAGCAGATTACGACAAAGTTCTAGGAGACGCTCCCGCTGATCTTCAATGCAAGTTTTATCTGAAACACAACAAGAAGTCACCAAAGAAGGGGTTTGGAGGTAACTATCTTATTGAAACAGAACTTATTATAGCCCTATACCTAAACATTGTAAACCTGTTGACATTGAGCGAATGATCTAAGACTAGAACACGGTGGATGACATGCCTAGTAAAACTGGACTGAGGGGTTTGATTGGTTCAGACCAATTAGACAATAGGGTTAATAGTGTTTCCTGGTAGTAATCGATATTTCACCTACATCTGATCACTTTAGGGGACTTGGTTCTCTCCTCTGACAATGCCTTACGTTGTCGGATATTTACACCCTCATCCTGTCCGAATCTCTATGTACACAAAATTAACTGTTCTAGACTATCTGGGACCCTAAATAACCTATTTCTTGATAGGCAAATTTATTAAAGGATAACATGGCAAGAAGTTTCTGTTTGAAAAGAAAATGTTGCTTGGGGTGAAGGCCCTTCTTGTAAATTTAATCACAGTTTCTGTGGAAGTTCCCTGTTACTTGATAGCCATGTAGAGGTGTATTCTATAGTATGTACAATCAGAAGATCTTTAACAGTAATATAATCTAGATGTGATCAGGTGATCTGGTCCATCTCTAAGCGTGACAGGTAGCCTGGTGTACATGTAGCCTTGTTATGATAAATAGCACCTCCCACTTATGATAAACAATACCTCCCACTTATGATAAACAATACCTCCCACTTATGATAAACAATACCTCCCACTTATGATAACCTGTCCTCTTCATGCTGATAGTTGTTTCTTGACATACTTCAAAACTTGATCAAATATAAATCAGTGTTGACATAACTGTATAAAATGCCCTGGAGGTGTCTGAGGATGTGTGGACTCCACTGTCCACCCGTTTGAGGGTGTAATGGTGTGTACACCTATCACTGTTCTGGTGTTTAGATATCATGGACATGCCATCCCACTCCACTTGTCTACATTTTGTTTGTCACGGTTGACAAGCACACTTGTTTTCACTAACCACAGATACTGCCTAGGGCTATTTGTGCCATGCTAAGATAATACAAATCAGTTTTCTACACTTGTCTATCCGCTCGGCTGCTCCTCAGTGATGGCATGCCCTTCGTTTTCATTTTCAATTCCATTCACGATTTTGACCCCATTTTTTTACTCGCTAACAAATTGCTGATTGTAATAATCTGTCTTATGGGATAGAATAACGAAGGCCAAATACTGTTGTAAGCTCTCGAGCCATTTTTCCTAAGAGTGTGAAAACATGGACACAATCTTAACACTGATCCACGTAAGAAGCTTATAAAAGCAATGGACAACATTTCGGCCGAGGTTCTATACCACGGCCTATCAAGGTCCAACTATTTTGTAAGGGCAAGTCAGCAAAAATGTTTTTAGTAAGGATAAATTGAGGCAGAAACATTTCCGAATAACCAATTTGCGTGGGTTTATTGTTGATCAACATGGCGTATGTGCTGTTGGACTTCCATTCATAGTGTCACACAATGGCTTTACACTAAGTAGTTGTTGTTAAACTGTATTACAAAACCTAGTCAATATCTTGTTTTGACCATTGGTTTGGTTATGTAGTAGTCTGACATTACAAGGATAGGTGGGAAAGGCACAAACACATTTCTAAGAAGATTAGCCATGGTCACTTTATTCACACTATACTTTAGTAAGTTGTTTGTTGATTTTTTCAAACTGGATATATTGTGTCTAGTTTTTGAAAACAATTCAATAGGATTTTAAGAATTCTGAAAATTTTCTAATCACACAAGTTGTTTTTGAAAACAATTTTAATAGGATTTATTCTGGATATTTTCATTCCAAATTACAATAAAGAAGATGTAGTTTATAATATTATCTGAACTTGACATTACTTCAATTTTTACACAGATTACAAATACAAGGTGCAGCTCATGACATTGTATGTAGATTATGTATTTAATAATCATTTGACACATTTAAGCAGACTGGCCAGGATTTAAAAATAGTAATTAAAACATCTGGTGATATGAATGTCCAGATTTATAGGTGTCGTCTATATTCTGTTTACATATTTTGATATATCTTTTACAGATGATGGGGTTATAAAACACGCCAAGAAAGATAGGAGCAAAAGCCTCATGAAGTTCTTCCGACGAAATAAGGATGACAAGAACAACAACTCGGCACCATCTGGCAAGTTGTTTGGACATCCGCTCGAAGATGTTATCACTGCAAATGGTCTTCCAAAGTGTGTTATGGTAGGTTTCAGCTTATTTTACATCTTATATTGGTATTAACATGGACTGACATTATTTTTGGATTTCAAAAGATGGTCAATCCTTGTTCTATTCTCATTGTGTCAAATCTTTCTGGTTTAATTTCCAAACATTTTTCGAAGAACTTACCAAAAAAAAATTAAACAAATCTACACATTGTAATCTCTTTTTTATAGGAACTTCTCAAAATATTGTTCCGTGAAGGACCCCACACAACTGGTATCTTCAGGAAGTCAGCTAACGCTAAGAAACAGCGAGAGTTGCGACTCAAGCTTGACGAGGATGATGCATACTTAGATGAAGACACTGGTGCTTTGGTTGTTGGTGCTGTACTCAAGGTATGTAGGTCAAGCTGCTTAAACTGAAGGTCAAAGTGTTTTATAATGTACTACTTCAGACAACTAAAGTAACTTATCATAAATTAGTCAATCTGTGCTGGTATTAACTACAGTATTTTGTTAGGACTTGGAATTCATGTCATAAGTACAAACTAATTCATATTTATACATGTTTACTATAATAGACAAAGTGTAACCATTTCATTGTTGTTTTTTCAGGAGTACTTGCGAAGTTTACCTGAATGTTTGTTGTTGGACAAGTTATATGACGACTGGTTAAGTTTAAATGATGATAAAAACGACGACAGTCCGCATAAACTTGCCCTAGTCAAAAGGTATGTAGTCGACAACAGTGTGAAATAATGCAGCTCTAGAAAAATAACTTTTGTTGTTCTGAATTAATTAAATGTTAATTAGATAAGAAATGTTTAAGTCATGTATTTCACATTATTGTAAACCAGACCTTATCAATGTTTAACAGTTGTAATGAGTCACGTTTGTGTAGGTAGACGTATAAACATTACTAGACACTGACCCATCACATTATATACACCACACACTTAGAACACCAACATTATAATTACGTATGTGTCACTGAATTTTTCCTAGTTGAGGTTTGCACCTGTCAGACATGCTCAGCTGAGCCTATGTGCATTATAAAGTCTCAAAATCACTTCCGGAATTACCTCACCACTACCACGTAAACTTTCAAGAAATCTTTAAAGGAACTTAACCACAGTCATTTCAATTTTACAATTATAAAAGCTTCTAAACTTACTGAGAATTCAACTTATAATGAAAACAGCCGAGAAATCTTATTTTTATGGAACTTTAGGTGTTGTTTGGTATTCGGCATGGGGAAGTAGGGGGTAGTCTGGGATTTCAGAAATTAGTCAACAGTGATTTGTGGTAGCCCATTGACCGGGTGAGTGTTCATGCGTCCCACCCCATTACCTTGTCAGATAATTTATAGAGTCTCATTAAATCCAGGTAAACACTGCTGTCCAGGTATGATAATTACACTGGTCATTGACTTATGGCATTTTTACCTGTCCAAAAAATCAATTAGAATTCAGAGTCAGCTAGGTACCTGATCATTATCATGCTTTGGGAATTTCTCTATTAAGGAAATGAAAGATTTTTTTTAAGGTGTGAAATATAAAATTTCAGATAAAATCTTTAATGAGAAAAAATAAACCATATAAATATCCCAGCATGGTATAGACATCAAAACATGGCAAAATATATTATTCTGGGTACGTGTTTGAACCGGCATGATTTATATGTGAAACATGCATAGCAGTACATGAAAAATAACACTTGTAAATATTGAATTCAAATAAAAAATAGTTTAAAGAAAAAAACATTCCTGGTTATAATGGTGTATTTTGTGTTTATTACAGTTTATTGATACAGCTTCCTCCCTGCCACTTCGACCTGCTGCGACACCTGATGTGTGTGTTGTACTACATAGACAAGAGAAGTTCAGTCAACCTAATGACAGCCTATAATCTGGCTGTGTGTATTGCTCCTAGTATTCTATGGTCAAGAGCACAAACTGACCCCCTCAAAGATTTGGCCAGCACCACCCCACTGTCAATTGTCACCTACCTCATCAAAAACTCTGCCCAGGTATTCGGAGAAGAGTCGCTTCTACTTTTTGGAAATCCATGCGATCAGAAAAGACAAGACTCAAGTACAGATTCCGATAGCATGCACAGTGTTCTCAGCATGCCTGATTCTAGTAGTAAGTATCTATTGGAAAGTTTACAATAGTCTAACCTCATAGACTTTTTAGTAAAACACAGACTTATTTTATAATGGGAACAGGAAAGCTTTCATTTATCATATCATATTATAATTTACGATTTTCATGATTTGTACCGTAACATCCTATCTTTAAATGTAATATATAATAGTTACATAACCCCAGCCCAACTAAATAGTGAGATACTGATTGTAATAGTATACCACATTTATATAGCACCCAATATCATTTGCGAAATAACTCTTAGGTGCTTACCTACAGTACCTAGACTTTCAACTTGTACCTGCCTGATGTTGTTACACCTACACAAAATTAAATTATTTTGTTACATCATACCAACTTAGCTTTGGAAGTTTAATAGCCTATAGCTAGATATCTTGATGGATAATAATGTAAAATTTGTGGACATTTACTGATCGCCTACTCAGGGCAGTGTTTGATAACAATAAATGACTAATCGTAAAACTGAATGGTCAGTCTGGCTACACCAGTGGGAATTGACCGTCACATGTTTGGGTTGAGTTAACAAAGTGGGCGGTGTATATACACAAACAGTGCCGTTATCACAACAATCAGTCACTCACTATGTAGGTAGTATACCATATATCTACCGTCATAAGGACATAAAACCACCATTTCGTTCCAAGATGGGTTTTCCAAGCGCATTTAATTGTAAAAGAAAAAAATCAAAATATTATAGATTTTATCTATATATCTGAAGTGATGAAATTTGGAAAATGTACAGGTACCAGGAACAAAATTTCATTGGTGTTTTATTTCTAAAGCATACACATATACTTAATAAACTCTGATGTCGGAGCAAGGTGGCCACCCAGCACAATATCCCTATTAGCTTCAACTGTCCACCAATCCTGGTAGAAACAATTGTCGCTTCATTAGATTTAAATGGCCGCCGAGGAGATTTGACTGACATAGTAGTACCGATAAACAATAAGATTAACCAATGGATCGACAGCCTTTGTCTTACTGAGCCTTATACAATGGGCAGCACACATGGGTTAGAACAGCCATTTGTACAATGATAACCATATATTATATTTCATATTGCCACTAGAACCCATTGAACACGACAATTTATAGTTTATATGTGTGTTACTCAAAAACTTCAAATCAGTCAATCTTGTGTCAAATCATCGTTAATTGCCATCTCAGGTCCTGGGCTGATTGCCAGCTAGTTATAATCAGTGTCAAAGATAGATCTGATTCTATAGGAAGCTTGTAACCTGACTGATATTGCACTACATAGGTGGTCAGCATGACCTAGTCAAATAGCATCATCAATTATCGTTAACCTAAAAAAACATATCTAATCACTGCCAATATAACCGGTGAAGCCTGAACCCAGTTCAATTTGTTCTAAATCTGACCTTATGACAAAGTTAGTGAAATGGAGATTATCAAACAATGTTGTTTCCATTCAATTTTTGTGATAATTTAAAAAAAGAAATATGAAAGTGAAAAATCTATTGTAATGTTGATTTCATTCAGTTTCAAAAAAAAAAAAAAAGAATAAGGTGGCGACGCAGAATATTCTCTTCAACATATTCAAAATGTCTCATCTCTTGTCTTTTCAGGTGGTGGTACAAATCGTCGTGATGACTCATCAATCGACAGTCTGGAGCGCGAGGTTTACATCGGACAAGACATTGACTCCAGTCCTAATCTGGCCAAGAGTCACCTGTCACCGTCTAACTTGAGTCGGGACTCGGGACTAATGCTGAGCGACAACCAGTTGTACGACGACGACAACAGTAGTGTGGAGATGCTGGTCGACAGGAAGGGTTATAGTCGTAGTGTGTCACAGTACATTGACAGAGACAATGAGAAAAGTGGCCGTTATGACAATGTGTGTAGTCAAAGCTGTGAGAACTTCTACGAGTATGGACACCACAATCCTAAGCCGCCTCCTAGGAAAAACAGGCGGAAGGAAAACGAGGCTTCAGACCCTTCACCAAATATGGAGATGCATCGTCATCAGACAATTTATTCTCGTACTGGAGATAGCAGATACGACAATAGTCCTAAATCCACATTATCACAAAGTCTTAGTGCTGACGCGTACCACCGGTACAATCATGACAGTTCTTCTGAGTCACTCCGGAGCATTGAGGATCGTGTTAACATTGCAAGTGAACAATTTGGTAATTGGCAAAGACAGAAACGATCAGAACAAACTCTGACTAAGTCTGCCAGTGGGATGCACCTCTATATTGATAATGAGGATTCTCAATTAGACATTAAATCCTCTGGACGATCTAATCGTGACAAGCTTACTCGACAGGCTTCTGTGACGAGTACACCCCCTATGTCGCCACAATCAAAATACTCGTTTAGTGAGAGTGTGGACAGTGTATTGACAGATTCCTCAAGTTCGTATCTTCCACACCAGTCCAGTCATGACACAGACTTCAGTGATGTGAGTACGTCATGGTACACTGCAGATGAGTACCATAGCAGCATGGACTCGCATCGGCTGCAACAGAGCTTTGATGACTCCTCTGTAGACTTAAATACCTCGCAAAGGATTCGCTCAAGTGGGACAATATCTGGCTCAAGCCCACGCTACTACCACCAATCCCCCAGTTCAGCATACCAAAGCCCAAGGGCTCATACGAGTCTATCTGTGTGTCGGTCCTTTCCAATGGAATCTGGGACTCTGTCAAAAGGGTCCGGATCTACAACATCTAAGGAAGCAGAGGATATCATCAGCAAGCCAAAACTTCCATTTTCGCCTTTCGCATCGGAGGAGGTGCTTCACCGGCCGAGGTCTACTGAGCCTGCTATTTCAGTAGCTCAACCAAAGGGAGAGGCATACACATCAAACATGCCAGTGAAACAGATGACCAAATACAGCACAGGCCTCGGATCATCTCCTCCTCCCCGCATCGTCCTTCAGGGCATGCGCCAAGCTCAGGGGCAGAAGAACACTCCAGTAAGGGCAAGTTATGATAGTGCTATAGTTTCTCAGGTACGCAAGAGTAGTTTTGACAGTGAAATGAGGAGAGACATTGATCATGTATCAGACTTTCCTTCAGTGACATCGAAACAACCTCCATCATCTCCTCGTACACTTCGTAGGAGTGAGAGTGACAGTGAGATAAACAAAACTCTCACTAACACTCCTGATAAGGTACGACCAGACCACCCTCCCTCATACGACCAGGCCCTTCAGAGGAACTTCATGCTTTCCCAGGGAATTCCAATTGAAATTACTGAAAACGATGAAAAGAAACAGAAGGAAGCTAGTGCTAAAGCCAAAACCCTTTATGAGGACTCGCTGAGGAGGTACATGGAAGAACACCTCAACAGTCCCAGTACCCAGCGGTTCCTACCTCAGTCACCTCCACCACGGAAGGTAGATGTACAGAATGTTGTGGAGAAAGACAGTGATGGGGAATACGAGGACTCGACAGAGGAAGACATTTATGTTGAGCTACAAAAACCTGAAAAAGATCCAAAGAAATTGTATGAGGAATCAAGAAAAGCATATGAGAGATCTGTACAAAGTGATGTTAAGAGTAATGACTCGCCCATGACGATGAGTCGTTCCTCAGGCAGTATGTCACCAGTAAGAGACAGTAAATTGTTGGCGGTACCTGTGTGTAACCTCCAACGAAGTTATAGTGATTCTGCTGACCACATGTTTAGAAAAAGTCCTAAACGTGAGAGGTCACCTTTGGCCACAGAAATTGTAAGGAGGGACTCTCGTACAAACACTAGAGGGGGTTCCCCACATCACAGGGGGGTTTCCCCAGACAACAGGAGAATTTCCCCTCACAACAGGTCTGGCTCCCCTAACAGCAACAGCAGACTGAGTTACTCCTCATCTAGTGTTTCCAATAGTTCCTCAGACACAGTTACAGACACTCAGTTAGCAGCCTCCCCCAGTTACAGGGAGAGGGCTGAATCAAGTCCGGTCATCACCAGACATGTGTTCCCTACTGCAGAATCTTACTCAACCAACTATGCTCAAAACAGTGCTAAGTCTAGAGACATGTCCCCAGCCTGTCGGACTCCCCAGGGGTATGATAAAACAGTGTTTAGTGCCAGTTCTAGTCGGGATTCCTCGCGGGATTCTAGATACTCAACAGAGAGCAGTAGAGACTCTATCAGCCAAAATCTCTCAAATGAACTAGAAAAAGTGACAATTTCAACAAAAGACTCCTCCAAGCAACAAGTGTTAAATAAAGACTTAACAGATAAGGTTGTGCTAAGAAAACATTCAGATTCTCGAGTGTCGAGTGGTAGTCATGGTGACAGTAGAATGTTACAACAACGGACTAGTATTGCCACCACATCGGGCGTTGAACTAAGAAAGTACGCCCACCCTCCAGGGAGGAGAAACGAGGGAGTGAGAAACTCCTCTGACCTTCCCTGGAGTGTGAAACATCTCAGGTCAATTTACCAGCAGGGTAAAGGTGGTGAGGTTAGTCTGGACACCTCAGCAGCAGGGCCTCCTCCATATCAGCACCCTCCCCCCTTTCGCAGAAACATTGACAACACACGCATGAGTACCTCAAGTAGTAGTAGTGCTGGAAGCACAGGAGGGAGAAGTACCCCTCTCACATGGCCCCACAGTGTTCACCCCCGTGTCCGGGGGGAGGGACCACAAACTCACGACAGTTCTGCTGAGGATTCTGACACCTCTAGTCGCTACTCAGGGCAAGGTAGACGGGATACCACAAGTAGTTCAGATGAACAGGATTCTGTCGTGTCATATTCTAGGACCTACTACACCGACATCTCATATGTGTGATGGTCGGTCATTAGTGTGTGCCTTTGTGTTACCATGGAGATGTTATGTGTTACCATGGATACCAAACTGACTACAGCAACACTGCCCCTGTGATATTTACTAGAAATTATATTTTACAGATCAGTGATTTGATTTGTACCATTAAATACTACCTATTTTTATGTGGAAAGGACACTGATTCCATATCACTATGCTATCAAATGCATGAGGATTTGTGCGTTTAGGGTGCTCAAATTTTTGTATGATTTAGTAGCAATATTTGTCTATAATTTTAGCAGGAAAATGAACAGCTGATATATGTTTCTCTATTTTATACTTTATAAGATAAAAACCAATGTTTGTATGAAATGATATTCAAAACCAGTAAGAGATTATGCTGCTATGTTGTAACTGTTGTGATTGTGTCTTGAGAACCTGTGCACATGTGTGTAGGTGTGTGTGTGTATGAGTATGTGTTAGTTAAACCTATGGTTATGAGTCTGTGCAAATAAAAAAGGCAGCAACTTATTTTTAAGAAATGCAAACTTATAAAAACTCAAAACATTTATGAAAAATAAATTGTACCCAGATTTAAATTTAAAGTGCTTTCTGAGAGTGATTACTGACCAGAACTGTCAGCTGTTCTTGCGTATTATGTGCAAGTACAGACAACAGAACTGTTTCTGTAAAAATTAACAACTTATATCAGATTAAATGGCCGTGTATATTATCTACTAATTAAATACCTCAGAAACACACACCTGGCTAGCCTCCGTTGTATAGAAGGCCAAGGATTTTGTAAATTTGTAATTATTCTTGTATATCTGAATTGGAGAAAATCCCATTTATGCGTTGTTATGTATATTACCAGCATGACGGGTTATTTATATTTGTACATACAAGGCTCCCCGAGACCTTTACCTATATCTAAACACTCATTTGTGCCAATTTGCTTATTTTCTCAAATTACCTCTGTAGACAATACTGCTGCAACTTATGCCTGTTTCATAAAAAAATAAACGTGAGTAATATTTTCAAAACAAAAATGTGCTTTTTAACGTTCACTGTATCTAAGATGGCATAATATTAATTTTAAGACAGTTTTGATAACATTGAAATACATTTACCCACCTGACATTAGGTGCATCAGCAACGATTTTCTGAATTAATACAGTGCGTTCATACTTCAGCCGTCATCATAAGTTAGTGCTTTAAAATGACCGTGAAAAGCACAAAAGTGTGTTAATAGCTAACACAAGTATTTCTATCATGTGAGATGTTTCTTTGGCAATGCAACAAATCAAAAATTCATCAAAATGACAAGTATTGCAATGTTCATATCTTTTTTATCTTTTCAAATTTGAAAGTATACCAGTGATTTTTATAACACTGATTAATGCATGTACTACTCAAATAAAAAATATCACAGATAGAGAGCAGAGGTAAGCTGACGGGTTGCCATGGTGACATGGCTGTGTTGGACGAGAGGATCGGGTATGGCTGGACCAATGAGTGCGGGTGTACCATTGTATGTAGTGTACCAGTGAACAGCATTTTATCTTGTACAAATACTGGAGCAAAAGTATCATATCCAATATGCAATCCATATGAACAAACAATAATAAAATATAATATACTATAAACCTGCTTTTATGTTGTGTTTCCTTACCAAAGTCTACAAAACCATCAAAACCTGACACAAATTGAATCAGGCAGAAGGATTGTTGTGAGGTGTACCTGAATCAGGCAGAAGGATTGTTGTGAGGTGTACCTGAATCAGGCAGAAGGATTTTTGTGAGGTGTACCTGAATCGGGCAGAAGCATTGTTGAGAGGTGTACCTGAATCAGGCAGAAGGATTGTTGTGAGGTGTACCTGAATCAGGCAGAAGGATTGTTGTGAGGTGTACCTGAATCAGGCAGAAGGATTGTTGTGAGGTGTACCTGAATCAGGCAGAAGGATTGTTGAGAGGTGTACCTGAATCAGACAGAAGGATTGTTGTGAGGTGTACCTGAATCAGGCAGAAGGATTGTTGTGAGGTGTACCTGAATCAGGCAGAAGGATTGTTGTGAGGTGTACCTGAATCAGGCAGAAAGACTTGTGGAGTGAACACCATTGTGTTCATAGTAGAGCTGTAATAAACTGCAGGAAACGATGGAACACCAGACCAGGATATAGATTGCACTACCTACCTAACATATCAATTCAGTTCCTGTACATATCACATATCAATGATAAAGCAAGCACATAAGAAAAGAGTAAAATAGTACATGATTATCTTTGAGACTCATTCCTTTTTTGTTGGAGTTATTGATGACAAGTTTGGTTAATAGTTTTACAAACGGGCGGTAGAATCGCCATATATATAGAAATGTTTTGATCACAGTGAGATTCTTTGATACACTTGACTGATGAACACATAAGGTGTGGAACAGGGACCTTCATTCAGAATCGTATAAAAGATATTGGCAAATTAATATATAGACTACCTTCCTCTTAAGTCCCATTTATCAGTCACAGCAAAACGTTTTTGGAGTTCATATTGGATATAAACAATTCATTATCAGTTTTGGGTCCTCAAAACAAAGTTCTCGCGAAGAAAAAAATGTCCCCATGTGATTAGACCACTATAGGTCAATGGCTAGTTTAATGTGTTATCTCACTGAACCTGGTCACATTGTGCCTAGGAATACATAGCCGAAAACAAAGTACAGGTAGAGAATACAAATCTTAGAAGCATATGACGGGGACAGAAGCATGATTTTGGTTTTTCAATGTCCTGTAAACAGAAAACACAGATTTAAATCCATGATTTTACTTGGACCAACATTAAACGCTTCTTATGACAACGAACCATGGGATACAGCATGTCTTACCTTCACCCAGCCTCCTCTGGATAGTGCTCCACAATCTGTAAAGTATTCCA